TTTAAAAACGCTCTAAAAGCTAATCTTAACCAATTTCTATTCCAAAAGTTGCTTTTCTAGGTAATTTGAGGGCGTAGAATCGAAATTTTGGCATATCAGAGCTTGTGGAAGCGAACGGACGGAGTTATACAAAGAGAAAAATGTTCTGTAATTGTAATCAACAATTTTCTGTAATTTGACCTAGGCGTTTTATCTTTCAAATTGGTTCCACACGCTCTGATATGCCAAAATTTGAATTCGACACCCTCAAATTACCTAGAAAAACAACTTTTGGAATAGAAATTGGTTAATATTAGCTTTTAGAGCTTTTTTAAAACGCGAAAAAAGGTGCGCTAATGGGCTAAGTGCGGAAAAAAAGGTGCGCAAATGTCCGGGTGCGCAAAAAAAAGGTCGCATTTGTCCCACTCCCAAATTAACTTTTTATTTAATCGCTTTTCACTTCACTTAATCGCTTTTAATTTTATCATTTAGATTAAAATCATTAGTCGAAAGCGGCCAAGACGGGGAAACTCAACGAGTATCGATGAATAACAAGTGAGCTTTTTTGTGAAAGCTTGAATTTTTGTGAAAGATTTCTTTTATGGATAAAAACATTTGATGGAAGTTAATCAAAACAGTGCCGGGCAAAATAATGCCTTTGCCGTTAAGTTTCTTTGTGTTTCTTATTTTCATTGGATGTAGAAAGAAAAAATTAGCTGTTTGTTGAATTTTTTGAAGCCGTTTAGAACAAATCTAGGATCAGAAAATGCCAAAAAACAAAAAAGGGCTCAAAAAGAGGTTAACTGCGCTTTTCTGGACATTAATTCTGTTTTTAGTGATCCCAAAGTATGCAAAATGTAGGTAATTTTATTCTGCATCTAATAAGAATAAGAAACACATAGAAATTTAACAGCAGAGGCTATTTTTGCCGTAGCGCTGTTTGTACACGGCGCTGTTTTGATCAGCTCCGTATTTGAAAGCGTCGAAGTCGATGTTTTTGCTTATTTTCATCGAAAAAGCGTAGTGTTTTTGTAAAAATGTAGTTTTATAATTGTAATTTTATAGTATTCTTATTTTTTGATTAGCTTTTGCTGCTTCATTTTCAAAACACATAAAAACTTAACAGCAGAGGGGCTATTTTTGCTGTGGCGCTGTTTGTACACGGCGCTGTTTTGATCAGTTTCCTATTTGAAAGCGTCGAAGTCGATGTTTTTGCTTATTTTCATCGAAAAAGCGTAGTGTTTTTGTAAAAATGTAGTTTTATAATTGTAATTTTATAGTATTCTTATTTTTTTGATTAGCTTTAGCTGCTTCATTTTCATTTTAGAATCATGATCCCTCCAAATGCTCGTGTGATCGATGTTTTTCCGCGTCCCGATTTGAGCCGTCCACGATGGGATCAAAATACTTACAAGGGAAGGTGCGGAAAGTTTTATTGCTGTTTCTAGAAGCTGTTTAGATGTAGCTGTTTCTTGAAAATGCAGTGTTAGTAGCACTGCCAGCAAAGCGTTTTAACAACTAACAAAACATAGATGTTGTTCAAAACATAGATGTTTAGAATGAATCAGAGTGTGTGATTGTTTTAAAAACATCGATACTTATTGAAAATCGATAAAGATTTGAGCTTGATAGCACTTGGGCTAACTGAGCTCTTCTAAAGAGTCAAGCTCTGACGATTTTTACGGCTTTTAGATCATTAAACCCTTGAAATTGCATAAAAATGGATAGAATTTTAGGCTTTGACCCATTTTTTACTCCTTGGTTTGCTTAGTTCCAAATAAGTCTTGGCTAGATGGCTAACATAGCCTGTTTGCATACAATTCTTATATAATTTTCTTGTTCAGAGCTCTTCATTTCTTCACAACGGTCAACCCGATGAACATCTTTGTGACGTCATCAAAACTCGAGCAATGTCGAGAGATTGTTAAAAGTTACAGGTAGCTTTTTGAAACTATGTATTTTGCAGTAGATTTGTTTAGGAAAGGCCAAATCGATTCATCGATAACGGTCGAGGAATTATGGAAAGCGAAACATCTCTACGATTCGGCTTTTCACCCAGACACCGGCAACAAAATGTTCTTACCGGGAAGGATGAGCTTTCAGGTAAATTTGAGGCTTGTTAGAGTAAACTCAGCATTAGCAATAGCAGTAATTTAGTTTAGGCATTAAACATTGAACAACATTAAACAAACATTGAACAGATTTTTCATCACTAAAGTTTTCTTTTTAGGTTTGGGGCAATATGGTGATCACCGGTGGAATGTTGACGTTTTATCGCCGCTTTCATCACGTTATCTTTTGGCAATGGGTGTGTGTCATTGTTGAACTTTGACATACCAGTTGTGTTAAAAGAAAAATGATAGATGACAAAGAAACTTGTGCTTTAGGGCTACTTATTTGCAATCTAATGTTTCTGTTATTTTTAGATTAATCAATCGTTTAACGCGGTGGTCAACTACACAAACCGGTCGGGTTCACATGCGGCATCGGTGGAGATTTAAAGTTAATATAGAACTTAAATAAATTTGGTATTGCTGGAGTTGTTGAACTTTTACTTGACCACTATATTGTTAAAGATCATTTTAATTGTCTCAATTTTAGACGAAACACCTCTTTGTGTCCTACTGTTGCGCAACAGGATCGGCTCTCTTCGCCGCTCTCTATTTGAACTCTCTTGTCAAGGTGTGGTACTTTTAAATACTGATTGTATATTTTAAGCATTCCCACTTTCAGGATCAACATAGTCTTCGTGGTCGACTCGTCCCGTTTGCTGCAATTGCCATCGCTAATGTGGTCAACATTCCAATAATGAGGAGCAAGTGAGTAAAGTTTTTTTCTAATAAAACTTTCTTATAGTTTCCTGATTAACCATTTAACTTAACTGCTTTAATGTGCACCTTTTTAGTGAATTCTCCGATGGTATCCCTGTGGAGGATCGTGAGGGAAATGTGCTTGGTGAATCGAAACGAGTCCCCAAATGGCCATCCCACAAGTTGTATTGTCGAGGATCGGAATGACGATTCCGAGCTTTAGTGAGTTTATTTTTTGGTGTAAAACTTCTAATGTTCTTTTTTAGTCGGCATCCCGTTAATCATGAACATCATTTCGCGAAAGGCGTGGTACAAAGTGAATCTTTGACTTTTAAATACAAATTTAGTTCTTAAAGCTTGACAATTTTGTGAAAACATGCATGTTTTGACAAAAAAGTTTATACAGTTGGAGAACTTTGTTGTTTCAAATTTCATCTTTTTAGTCGCGTTCCTGGATCTCGATTCCAATTCAATCGGCATTGGCTGGCTTTTGTCTCACTTTTTCCACTCCACTCGCCTGCGCGCTTTTCCCGCAAAAGAGCAGTATCAAGGTAATCTTTTGAATGCTCTTTAAATCCTATAATAGTTGACACTTCGTAACTATTTTATTTTTCGGATAGTTGGATAAATTGGAGTGGCTTTTAAATAAAAAAATTGAGCACTTTACATTTCTCCTTCTTTCAGGTGTCACATCTCGAGCAGGAACTCCGCGAGAAAATCGCTCTCTTGCCACACCCACCCGAATACGTCTACTACAATAAGGGACTCTAAATGGATGGAAATTATCGAGATAATTGATTGTGTTTCTTTTGTTTGTTTGTTTGTTTTTTTGTTGTTTTTTTCTTGTTGTTTGTTGTTGGTGATAGATTGTTTAGGGCGATAAATTTGAAGTCAACAGAGTGCAAGGGAATACATTTTTCGAGCATCAAATCAATACTTCTAATTTTGCTTATTCTTGTTGTTTTTGATTTTGTCTCCGAACTACAAAAGGAAACGGCTCTTGATCAATTAACCTCTAGAAGTGATTATTTTCCGGTGGAATGAACTGATTTATCAGTATTTGGATACTATTCAAAGTATTGATCGGATCCAATTGGTTTATAAAGATAAACCTTGCTTTGTGCATTCCCTTCAAGGGAACGCGTTCCAAAATTTCTCAAAGTCTCTGGGTCAATGCTAACCTTAAACTTGGGTAATTCAACCGAAGCGTGAGGTCTCTGTCGTGCTATGTAAAAGGGTCGTGTGCCAGATACCGTTTTTCCCACGAGACACACCAAAGGTACGCACAGCGATAAAGGGTCTCCTTTTTTGCCTATTTCAGCTCTCTACATGATTAACTAATTAAATAGCCAACAATTATCTATGTCTATTTATTCAGTTCATAAAAAATTAGCACAAAAATGAGAATTACGATAGTTTGGGTTAATACAAAGTGGGCGTGGGTGAGAACCTGAATGATGCTCGGATGGGAGTCTCAAAAGAAAACACGTATTCATCAAAATATTCAACAAAAAATACGGTAGTTTTTGTTTTAAATGCAAATTTTGTCGTCAAAACTACTGTATTTCGACGTAAAAGAAGCTCAAGTGCTTTCAAAAAATGCGAAAATTGTAGTTGCAAAAAAAATCATCGGACCAGTCACGAAAATTGACCAGTATTTGCAATTGATTATCGGAAAAGTGAGAAAATGAGAAAAAAATTGAGGTTAATGAGATTTGGGGGAAAAGAGGTAAAGAAATAAACATTGAGAGAATGCAAAGTAAAGTAAGAAATCGAAAAACCGGATTCAAAAATTGGGAAACGACAAGGAAATGATTGGCCAACTCTAGCTCGTACTTTGTGCTTTCCTAAATGCTCAGCTTCTGGCAAATTATTTCATTCATTAATGTTCAGTGCACCAGAAAGTGTTGCTCACCAAAGCTGTACTTTGTGCGCCCATAAACGCACACTTTCTGGCTCACTGGATACACTGGATAAAATTGGTTAAGTGCGCCAGAAGACTTGCGTTTACGCAATTTCTGATAAACACACACTTTCTAGCACAGTTGATGGGTTATTTACGCAAAATGGGTGTGCCAGAGAGTGTGTGGTTGTGAGAGCACAAAGTACACGAGCTAAAATGATAACTTCAATTTTTTTCTTGTCGTTTAAAGTTAAAATACGTTTTGGAAACAACACAGGCAACAAATTTTTCGAGTTATAAAAGGTTTAGCTCACAAATCGTACGTTTCTTTTATTATTTTGCACAATTTCGGGAGCTTTCTGTTTTCGGATTAGACCCCGATCGGCATCCGTTTTCGCCTGAATACCTTTTTATATCTAGATAATTCTCTATATTTAAAACTAGATACCGTATTTCTTCGAATAGAAGACCGGGTAAAGAGTATCATCGCTTACTCCTGCGTAACAGCCCTTTTTAAAATTTCTTTTCTGCATAAAAGCTTTCAATCAAGTGCTATAGAGCTGAAAAATGGCTCAAAAATCTGTTAGCTCATGTGGTATTTTTGAGTCATTTTCCAGCCCTATAGCACTTCATTGAAAGCTTTTATGCAGAAAAGAAATTTTAAAAAGGGCTGCTACGCAGGAGTACGCGATGATACTCTTTACCCGGTCTTCTATTCGAAGAAATACGGTACGTAAATTTAGATATTTAATTTATCACCAAACCTCTTTCTCTATCAGCCGCGCTAAATCCGAGTCGACACGGCCGAATGGGCGCTTTATCATCGCCTAAATGTTATCAGATGATGATCACAAAAACTATGCACTGAAATTTGATTTTAATTCGAGATTTACTCACCCTGGAGCGCACATCTTCGATATAGAGATAGGCGATAGCGATCAGAATCAAAACGGAAACCCCAGCCAGCACTGAGGCCACAACGGTCACCCATTTGGAGCCATTGGACTCTTCCTGGAAATGGTTATATGCTATTTTTTAGCTATATAAACTATTTAAATAATTACATATAGATTTTAGATACATCTAGTCATCAAATATTAAAAGCTCACTTCAACTTTTGGACACGCAAGCGCTAGACATCCGATCGTTCCATCGCCTACATCTGATTCGCCGAGTTTATCCAACCATGAACCCAACCATTCCTCCTCGCAAACGCATTGCCAACGATTTTCTGAGCATTCCCAGGTTTTTTGAACTTTAAAATTTTATTTTAACACTTACCGGTGATGTCAATTTGCTTCAAAACGGTTAAATCGATGTCATCAAAAGTTCCCTTCGGCAAATGGGTGAGACGATTCGAGTTGAGATGGAGACGTTCAATGGAAAGACCACGGAAAGTGCTCGAGTCTATCTGAAACGAATTTTGAAAGAATTAGATCATTTTAAGACTAAAATTTGGCTCAATTACCCAACGTGGTCAGCTTTCAATTGCTTATGGAAAGGGCCTGGCTGGGTAATCAAATCTAACCTTTGGCTACAAAACAATCGTTTCATTTTCAAGAATTCAGAAACAAACTCACATGTGCTAGTTGATTATTGTCGAGTAGAATGACACGGAGAGATTTCGGGAGTTCTCCCTCATGAAGTGCATCCAAACGATTCCCGGAAAGGATTAAAACGGAAAGGTGACGAAGTGGGGAAAGTGCGGCCAAACCATTCGAGGATAGACCTGGAATGGAATTGTTGACATCTGAGAAGACATGGGAAATGTAAACTGTCAGTCTGACAACTTGACCAGACTTGGTTGCTTTAAAAAAAACTGCGTCAATCGGTTGGAATCAGTCTTTTGATTTAATTTGGAAGTTTTCCAAAGCTTGCCAAAAATTGCCGAAACTTTGCCGAGTCAAATTTGCTCATTGAAAAATGCTCACACTTCGACTACGCATTCCTTTTTACATTATGTGAGTGATGGTACCAAATCATACGGTTAATTTCTATATCCTCACTTGATAGCTGGTTCATCTGCAGAGCGAGACTTCGAATCGAAGTGACATGCTTGAAGGCATTTCCCCCAATCACTGTGATATTGTTCGAAGCCTAGGATACGGTAAAGATATTTATTTTGATTATAGCCTACCATTGATACTGTATCCAATCTGGGTGAGGTGGCAAGACCCCTAAAGCTGTCATCTTCGATTTCGGCAATCGTGTTTCGATCGAACGAGATGTAGACCAAAGAGGGAAGACTTCTAAAGATAAAAGGCTATTTTTACCGTTCAATTGCTGTGCGTTTCAGGACCACACTCACTTACCTCAGAACAACGTTTTTCAGTGTTTGGATAGAGTTATTGTTGAGGATGAGCTTCTCGAGCTTGTCAAAGCCTTGGAGATCGACGGAGGAGATGTGATTCCGGCCGAGATCGAGAATCTGAAGATATTCAATTGATAAACTGCTAGAGTGCTTAGTTCTTGATGGTATAGATTTAAAACAAACCTTGAGTTTCTTCAGATTTCTGAACGCCGTCCAATCAATGCTCGAGATTTGATTGTTCTGCAAGTAAAGCTCCTCCAAATTCTCCAAGCCTTTGAAAGTGTTCCTAGAAGATTTTTGGTTTAGATTTTCTTTGAGTTCACTTTTTTTGCATAAAGGAATACTGTCTGGCACATACTGGCCATTAGATCACTCAAATTTTGATATCATTGATCAAGCCTTGTGATTTCTCATCAAATGATACAAAAATTGGGCTGATTGAAGGAAATCTAGCTGATTGGCAAGAGTTTTCTAGAGTAAGTAGGAAACGCACTAGCCGACAAGGAAGAGCTAAGTGCGCCGGATGAGGTTTTTTTACACTTTTTAAGCACAAAGTACATCGCTACGATGCTCAAGATCTACTAGCGCAGAAGGAAATTGTTTTAAACTAACTTGGTGATCGCTGTGATCTGATTATTCTGAATGGAAAGCACTCTCAATTGAGACAAATTCTCGAATGATCCCTCTTCGATTTCTCCGATTCCATTCTCGTTCAACAGCAATTCCTCCAATTCGGCCACTTTTTCAAAGTCGGCTGAGCGAATTTTCGTCAACTTGTTGCCTAAAATGTTTGTATTTTAATTCAAAATTAACATCTCTAGATAAATAGCTTCATTTCTAAACTCAAAGCATTTTATTCTTGTAAAAATATACCGCTCAAATCGAGGATTTGCAGATGATCGAGGCCGGTGAGCATCTCGGGATCAAGATTCTAAAAATTGAATGATAAAAGGGTTTTAAAATATCCAAAAATATGTAAAATGATTAGAATATAGAAATTTTGATTAAAAACTTATACTAGAATCCAGTACTTTAAATAAAAAAGCTGTTTATTCAGCCAGTTTTCAGGTATCAAGTAACAAACTACAATAAGTAACTTACAATTACGTCTATTTTATAGATAAAAATTAGCTAACAAGCGTTTTTAGATAATATTTATGTATTTTTTTGATCCGAACCTTTTTCATCGCATTATTCCTCAAGCGAAGCTCTTGCAGTCGTGGCCCGATCACAGTGAATGTCCCCTTTCGAACGATGTTCACCAGTGAGTTCTCGATGATCAGCTTCTTTGGTTTCACCTAAATATTTGAATATTTAATGGGTTTATAATGTGCTTTGTGCTAAAACTGTAAACGTTCTCTTTCTAGTGCACTGGCTTCTTCATTTTTCTCGCAGAATGACTCAGAAAAATGATGAATTCAGTGCGTTTGCATTTTTGAGCTCAAACAAAGATAACGTTAACTGTTAAAACTCACTTTTTCGAACATTTCCGCTGGAATGATGTCCAATTGACTGTCCCAGATGTGGATACGGTTGACGAGGGTTTCGTTGAGTGAGCTAAAATTATTTGAAAATGAATCCTGATTAAGAGCTAAACTGACCCCAATTCACTGAACACGGCTGACATCGATTGACCCGTGCATCCAATCCAAACGTTTTGATAGAATTCTGGCACGAGTGGGTCGATTAGACATTTGCATGAGACCTGAAAAGAATTTTTTATAAGAAATCACAACTTTATAGACAAATGATAATTCTACGCAACCAACCGGTCCATTCTCACTGGAGGTTTTTCGGAAAGTCTCATCGATCTTCTTGCACGGATCGGCGTTGATTGTCGACAAAAGGAACGCGACAAGAAGTGCCCTTATTGGGGCGATCATTTCGAAGAAGTGACCAATCACACTGAAAAAGAGATTTTGCGGATTCTTTGAATTTTTGGAAAATGAGTGAAAGCTAGTTAATAAAACAAGATGACTAATGATAAAATGAAGAATGTCGAAGCGTCAATGAAGAGTTCGTCGGCAAGAAAAATAAAAAGTGTACAAAAAATGATTGCCAAGATTGGTCCATGGCGAAAATAACAAGTTTAACAGGTAAATAACAGGTAAATAATAGGTAAATAACACGTAATAAGCTTACGGTATAAAGTTTAAGAATATTCGCAAAATAGACGGCTGAAAAAACAAAAAAAACAATTGCAATATCAATCATTGAAATCAAATCAAAGAATTAAATGCCAAAGATTAATGAGTTGAACATTTTTCGTTAGGGGAACTGTAGCTAGGCAGGATATGAAGGCTTACGATAGTAAGATTAAGAATTTTTGCAAAGTAGACAGCTGAATATCGATTAAAGGTATGCCGGGGTAAGATTTAATAGAACAAAATATTGTATCTGGCAAAATCAAAAAATTTCTCAAGGTTAGAGCTATAAAATCAATGCAAACAGCTCCAATAACTCGGAAGAAGTTTAAAAACAATTGCACGACAACACTTGAACGAAAATCGTTTCTATTGACGGGTTACGAAAAACTTCGATCGGTGCCAGGCATGGGTGGACGGCCGTGCCAGGCAACGAGACACTATGAAATGACGATTTCTATATGGCCGCTTGTCGCATTTTGCGGGGTCCCAATTTTTGTGCGGTGCTATGCTTTTTTTCAGCCAGCAAAGTTAGATTATTGTTTTTTCTTTAGAATGCTAAATATCTTTTTGTATTTAAGCTTTAGGAGATTCCTTTGTGGCTTAAAATAAAAAACTGGAGAGTGGGACAAATGCTACCTTTTTTTCCGCACTTAGCCCATTGGCGCACCTTTTTTAGCGTTTTAAAAAAGCTCTAAAAGCTAATATTAACCAATTTCTATTCCAAATGTTGTTTTTCTAAGTAATTTGAGGGTGTCGAATTCAAATTTTGACATATCAGAGCTTGTGGAACCAATTTGAAAGACAAAACGGCTAGATTACAGAAAATTGTTGATTTGTCTTTGTATAACTCCGTCCGTTCGCTTCCACAAGCTCTGATATGTCAAAATTTGGATTCTACGCCCTAAAATTACCTAGAAAAACAACTTTTGGAATAGAAATTGATTAATATTAGCTTTTAGAGCTTTTTTAAAGCGCGAAAAAGGTGCGCTAATGGGCTAAGTGCAGAAAAAAGGTGCGCAAATGTCCAGGTGCGCAAAAAAAGGTCGCATTTGTCCCACTCCCAAAACTGACCGTTTTTCACCCTTCTTAACGTTATATAAATAGCTTTTATTCGAAAACTGGCTATCTTTTAAAGATTGGCTTGTAAATTGCTCACTTAAAACCTTTAAAATTTGTCTTTAACCCACACAAACAAAGATTTTCAGCTTTTCAAAACAATGTCTTTGTCTCAAAGAATTTCCTATAAAGTTTGCAATTTGCAAAAATTCCTCGTTTGCAAAATGTCACTTTCCAGCATTTTCCTAGCAAAAGTATCCTGTTTTCACTTTTCTTTCTTTGTTCATTCATTTTACTCTTATTAATTCTTAAATTTTAGGCTCGACGAGCGCTCGAGATGAATCAACGCTGCTTTCCGCCGTCAAAATCATTATTGGGTGGATCGACGCGACAAGAACCAGATGACAACCAAAAGAGAAGCCAATTGGAGGATAGACGTGGCTTTGACGCACCACAATCTGATCAAACGAACAGGAGAAAACACGAGGATCTGGAGGGTGAGGACTTGAGAGCTCGGAAGAGACCGAAAGTCGAGAAGAAAGTTTTCAACGAGTTGGACCACCCACAAGCTCGACCGCCTGAAATCAGCGACAGTGACATCATTAATGAAGCCTTCCGCTTTTTGGATGTTGACGTTTTTGCGGTACAACCGGAAAATTTACCGCTTTTGCTGGAAAATATGTTGACGGTGGAACAACGACTCAACAAGGTATCCGTCGGCAAAGAGGACATTCGACAGAAAATGGTAAAGATTTACGAGCAAGAGTCGGCGGATACGAGGTTTTGTTTGAGTGAAATGGAGAGACGAGCCGAGTTGCTGCCACATGGAGTGCCGGGTGCTGCCCCCGAGGATCATCGCCGTTGGTTGCACAATGCTCGCATGACTTTCTTGCGAATTGACATGCCACACAAGAACATTGCAAAAACGGTGCCAAATGGGCCTGTGCCTGGTTTCAGTGTGCCGTCGCGTGAAAGATTGGACCGTGCAGAGAACGCGAAAAGCTTTGAGGACATGACTGCTTCGTTGGCACCACCAGGACGCCCAATGAGCCGCCCCGGCCGACCGCTTTCTCGTGATGCTCCGTTTGCACCTGCCCCACAAGTTGCATCAACTCAAAGAGTACCAATGCAACAAGGGCCTAGTCTCAACTTTACTTTGCCGCCTCCATCAATTCCGCCTCTGGGTGCCGTCGCGTTTACGTTGCCACCTCCGAGCTTTGAGCCATCCACTGCTTCAGCTTCAACATCATCGAGTTCTGTTGGTTTGCCCGACTTCTCTCGTCCGCCGCCAATGATCGCTGATCTGAAAGCCGTTCAAACGGCTGTGCCACAACACAAAACCCTTCCTATTACCATTGTGGAACCGGTGAAAATCACACTAAAGCCATTGATGGAAGTGAAAACGTCGGCCAACTTTATCCCCGTGATCAATACGACTCCCCGAAGACAAGGACTACCGAATTTTAACTACGGAATGTATTGAATCATTTGTTTTTTCATGTTTTTGCCCAATTTATGTTCTGTTGAGCCTTTCAGATTTCTAACCTTTCAGGGAGTATTTTCTGTATCGATATTCTGATTTCGACTTTAGATTTGTGACCCGGTGCTTAGAAGGGCGCCGCTCATAGACGGGTACTTGTCACGTTTTAAGCTTCAGCTCTATCATTTCGTTTATTGTTTTGTTGTCAATTTTGCATTTTCAATTTACTGATGTTGTTTAGAGATTTCAAATTTAGAAAGTGGTATCAAAAATTTTCGCGACAAATGTTAAGCATCGATCTCTAAATTTGAAATCTCTAAGCCGTTTCGTTCTACATGATGATAAATTTTTCCAGGTAGTAATGTCTTCGCAAGTGACAAGCCAAGTGAATACGACAAGCGATGCGGTTGTCGATCGCGAAAAGATCTGCCCACTTTTGCTGCGAATCTTCTGCTCGAACGGTCGCCACAATGCAGTCAGCGAGTATGGACGAGGAAGTGTGCCGGCAAACGAGCTTCAAATCTACACATGGTTGGATTGCACATTGAGGGAGCTCACCTCGCTCATCAAAGAAGTCAATCCAGAAGCACGAAAAAGGGGAACGACTTTTGACTTCTCGATTGTGGCACCGGATCGCTTTCAGGTTATTTTTTGACTAGGTTTTTCAAAGTTGAAAGTAAATTAATAGCTTTTAGGTTAAAGAATTGGCCATAAGCTAGTTAGAATTGAAAATTTTGAGCTAACTCTCAAATAATTTACCTTAAGCATGAGCAAACCAAATGAGTAGTTGTAACTCTAGTTTAAGGTTATAGTTTAACTGTTAGATCTTCAGACTTCAGATTTAACAGGCTTTTCCACTCATAAAATAATTTTATTTTAGGCTCGCTACTCAATGCGTGATATCGGGAACACGATGAATGGAACGCGCGGAGTAGACGATAACAAATCGCTCAACCAGTGCAAGTTTGAGATCGGAGACTACATCGATGTCGCAATCACGTTGCCACAATTTCAACGAGGCGGTGATCATCATCGAGGAGGTGGACGAATGAGTGGCGGAGGACGCGACTTCTCGAGTGGACCTCGTCGCGATTTCCAAAGAAACAACTTCTAAATTATATTTTGGCGTTAATGTATTGTATTTCACGGCTAATTTTCTGGTTCATTTTGTCGTTATTCATGTTGGTCTCAAATTTTTATTGTATTGTTTTCGTAAGTTGTTGTTAATTTTTTCACGTTTATTTCTTTCATCGAATAAATAAACTTTGCAGGTAATGCTCGGGCGTTTGGGTGGTTGTGGCCATCTTGGACCGTTGAGAAGCCGTGTTGTTGGTACAAATCGAGGATTGGCTGGTGGGGGACATGGACATGGAAATGAGGGAGATGCAAAGGTTCAGCGCCAGGCATGTTTGCTTATCTGTCATACGATATTAGGCATCAAAAAATTTGAGTATCATAGAATTTACAAGAAACAAATTTAAAACCAATTCATTACTTCTTTTCGAAGAGCGTTTGGGTGGTTGTGGCCATCTTGGACCGTTGAGAAGCCGTGTTGTTGGTACAAATCGAGGATTGGCTGGTGGGGGACATGGACATGGAAATGAGGGAGATGCAAAGGTTCAGCGCCAGGCATGTTTGCTTATCTGTCATACGATATTAGGCATCAAAAAATTTGAGTATCATAGAATTTACAAGAAACAAATTTAAAACCAATTCATTACTTCTTTTTAGGCAGACGACTATCGACCTGGTCAGGACACTTACGCCTACGAGAATCCCTGGCCCAAGCTGAATGGTGGACGATTCGATTGGCTCTTCGGTGATGGGTGAGCTTGATCTTCATTACATAGTTGATTATTTTTACAATTAGGCTTAAAATCGACATTTCATTTGATGAGTTTAACTAAAGTATGAACTCGGGCGTTTAATGTACTCGTGGCAAATTTTAGATGGCGGCATAAATTTCAACGAGGCGGTGATCATCATCGAGGAGGTGGACGAATGAGTGGCGGAGGACGCGACTTCTCGAGTGGACCTCGTCGCGATTTCCAAAGAAACAACTTCTAAATTATATTTTGGCGTTAATGTATTGTATTTCACGGCTAATTTTCTGGTTCATTTTGTCGTTATTCATGTTGGTCTCAAATTTTTATTGTATTGTTTTCGTAAGTTGTTGTTAAATTTTTTCACGTTTATTTCTTTCATCGAATAAATAAACTTTGCAGGTAATGCTCGGGCGTTTGGGTGGTTGTGGCCATCTTGGACCGTTGAGAAGCCGTGTTGTTGGTACAAATCGAGGATTGGCTGGTGGGGGACATGGACATGGAAATGAGGGAGATGCAAAGGTTCAGCGCCAGGCATGTTTGCTTATCTGTCATACGATATTAGGCATCAAAAAATTTGAGTATCATAGAATTTACAAGAAACAAATTTAAAACCAATTCATTACTTCTTTTTAGGCAGACGACTATCGACCTGGTCAGGACACTTACGCCTACGAGAATCCCTGGCCCAAGCTGAATGGTGGACGATTCGATTGGCTCTTCGGTGATGGGTGAGCTTGATCTTCATTACATAGTTGATTATTTTTACAATTAGGCTTAAAATCGACATTTCATTTGATGAGTTTAACTAAAGTATGAACTCGGGCGTTTAATGTACTCGTGGCAAATTTTAGATGGCGGCGACCGCTTGCTAAAGATCAAGGAGCAAAGATGCGTCGTGAATGGATTTGGTTTAGTCAGGTATTCTTTTGGAAGTATGACGCTTAAAATCTAAATTTTTAGGTTGCTCATGATGAACATGCCGATTGGAAACGATTTCACTCAGTTTTCTTTACATCAATGACGGTGAGTCGTTTACGTGCTATACTTTGATAATTATTTCTTGGTTTTAGTTGTTGACGATTTGGGTGACGTCTTATATCATCTGGTTCCGCCCCGACTGGCCACAAGCAAAAGAGTGGGCTCTACGAGAAGCACATCTAGAAATTGAACGTAGAAGGTGGGCAAAAGTTTAATAAATTACCTAAGGTTATGGATGATGCGGCTTAGGATTAGTCAATGTAAAAGTTTGAATCTATCTATATTTTTACAGGAAAGCTGGCCTCCCATTGATTTCACCTGATCTACTTCCACGTGACAGAGTGACCGCCCAACTTCCGGCTGAAGAGGAACTCCGAGATTTCGACGTTCTTATTTAAGTGGTATTTTTCTAGGTCTGTTGTCATTATGTTTTTGCTTATGTGATGTACGTAGCCAATCACTCTTTTTTGCGCCTAAAAATGGCCTAATTTTCCCTAGTTATACGATCATTTTTAAGGGATTGTCTTTTAAAGATTATATTATGTAAATTTTTTTGCTCAATTTCCTTTTTCGAGCCCCCATTTTCTATATTCCGATTTTCTTTCATAGGTGAGTGGTTACTTGTAGTTTTCTTCGAAGTCCCTCGTTAAATTTCCCTCAGTCAGTCAATGATTTGTTTTTTAGGCAAAATGTATAAAGTAACAAATTTCATAGGAACACAAAGAATTCTGATTGAAAATGAGAATGAAAAATAGTGAACTACTGAAGTAACTGTAAGATACAATAAACAAAATTAATTAGCAAGCAAAAAAAGGAAAAATTACTAGTAAACGAAGTTACTGTTGTCTGGAATTAATTTGAATGCTCAAATCATGAACTCGCTTGGCTTCTTGAAGAAGTGACAGCGGGGTAGTTATGTGAACATGCGGCATTTGATACGGAACCTTATTCAATTCATCTGTAACCTCATTTATTTGAATGATGGCAGTTAAGGTGACCTTTTTTCTAAAAAAACTGACAACGATTTGGAACCAATTTTTCGCAAAGCTCTGAAATTTCGCGTTTCAAAAAGTCAAAACCGTTTCGACTCGCTCCACCGCATCGGGTTTACAAAAAAAAACTTTACATACGCTTAAAATTTCCTGAAAGCATTCGGGTTTTTTCTTGGAAAATTTCGACGAATAAAAGACCTACAAAATCAGATTCTTTTTTTCTCGCAATTCAGTTTCGGATTCAAATTTGTTACTCATCGAATGAATGTCTCATTCAGCCGTTGTTCTACCCCAATTCTCAATCCGTCGACTCCCAAATGAGACTTGAGATTCGATCTTTTCCAAATTAAACTACGAGATTTCTGTAACGTTTCAAATCCAAATTTTCAAGAAAGATGCAAGAATTTTGTTGTCGAAAAGTTAACTCTACATCAAAAATCAATAGTTGAACTTTAATTTTCAAAAATGCCAAAGATTTCTCGTAGATAACGAATCGAGGATCTCGTTTAGATTCGGGTATTTTGATCTGAATGAATCTGAATGAATGCACCGGTCGAGAATTTTCCCCAGCAATAAACCATAGTCATAAGAGTTATTTTCGCTATTGCAGAAACGAAGAGTCGTTTCCTTTCGCATCTAGATACAATTGAGAGTTGGTGTTGCAGAAAAGCACATTTAACACGCTCACTTCGATCCGACTCACCGGTGAGCTGTACTAATGACGATTATTTTTGGTGTCAACTTGGTTTTACGGACTTTTACTTATTTTGGGGAAAGTTCCCAGTAAATTTGTACTAGTTTTCAAGAGGAGATTCTGGGCTTTCGAATGGCTAGAATAGTTTATCTTTGAATTCTCATCAAGTCAAAACAGTAACGACTACGCGTCTGTACACTCAAAAAACCGTCATCACGAATTTCTATTATCCGGAACTTCTTTAAAAGTTAAGGTTAAAAGGTGAGTGGTAAATGTGATTTTTTTCGTAATTTCTTCAAGTTTTGTCGCCTTTGGAATTATAAAAAACGATATTTCACCCGCTAAACTGCTTAAGCTAAGAAAGTTGCACTTTTCTTAGCTTAAAGTTCTCGAGAAAATGAAGAAGTTCCGGGTAACAGAATTGCGTCTTCAATCAATGTCAATCAATGTCAATCATCTTCAATCAATGTCTTCAATCAAGAATTGCGCAAAGGTTGTCGAATTTTTCAGTCACGATCTCTTCGATCATTTCGAAGCTGTTTCGTTACTTTCAACAAATTGATCAAATTCTCGTAGTTTAATTTGGAAAAGATCGAATTTCGAGTTTCATTTAGGAGTCGAAGGATTGAGAATTGGGGTAGAACAATGGCAGACAGACATTCATTCGATGAGTAACAAATTTGAATCCGAATCTGGAAAAAAAATGAAAAAATGCCATTTTGTAGTTCTTTTATCCGCTCAATCAATTTTCAATTGCTATTCGCATTTTCTTGAGCATTTCAAAGTGCTTTCTTTGGATATGACACCCTGAGGCATTTTTATCCATTTCAAAATTACATTAGCCAACTTTTGAGTTAGTCCACCTGTTTTAATGAAATTAACGCTGTATTTCAACGATCGAACAAAATGATAAAGTTTAATAAAAACTATCAAAAAAATTATAGACACACCATGTTTTTTGCTAGTTTAGAGCCGGATATAAGTGCTAGTACAGTGAAAAGCATTTTTTCGTTTCTTTAACATAAAGAAAACATCGCATGCAATGTGTACTTCTTTAACTCTTTATCTAGTGAATGTAACTGAAATTACGAAGGTATTTATATGTAAAATGGAAGGCACCGTAACAAATTTGTAAAGTTATAACAAATTGGGATCGATGTGCAAAGCGAAAAAAACAGTTACAAGTTATCAAAGGAAAACACAAATTCCATAAGCATGAATGGCATCATTCTCTTTGGCGATCCAGTAGTCATCAAGATCGGCAGCGCCGTGTTTCGACTTGGGCACAATTTCACGACGAGCTGGATCGATCCCAATCAACTTGTAGGTTCTTCCATCGTAGTGATAAGTCGATGCGCAAGCAAGAGTAGTCTTTGGATCAGCAGAGCAGTAGATGCCGTAAGCATAAGCAAAGCGTACCCCTTTTGCCTAAAAGAAATACAAGTTAGATAAACTGAAATGTGACAAACCAAATCAAGTCCACCACTTCGAACAATTTCAGCAGCACGTGGATCTGTTGTTCCATGGTAAGCGGCTAGCCATTCATTTGGGGCAGAATTCTGGTCACTTAGGTAATTAAAATCAATATACATCTTAGATATTTCAGTGGATTTCCTTTCAGATTAACCACTAAAATTAGCGCCTTCGGTATAATAATATATACTTTATCCATCAAATAAAGTGATCCAATGAATGGCACATTAGACTAGTTGAAAGCTAAGCTTGCAAAATATCAACGTATGCAAAAATTGTGCAATGTCACAGATCAAAAAGTAGTTTCTAGTTAACACGGAAAGACACAAATTCCGTACGGACGAATGGCGTCATTCTCCTTGGCAATCCAGTAGTCATCAAGATCGGCAACACCGTGTTTCGATTTGGGCACAATTTTACGACGAGATGGATCGAAACGAGCCTGAAACAAACTAATAAAGTATTTCCAAGAAATAATTTTGAGTTGTTATTTATCGTTGGTATGTGTATGTGTACGACTAAGAAGTATGTAACAAATCCCACCTGAACAATCAACTTGTAGGTTTTTCCCTCGGTAAGTCGATGCATAAGCGAGTGCAGTCTTTGGGTCTGGTGTGCAGTAAATGCCATGACCAAAAGCAAAGCGCTTTCCTTTCTCCTAGAAGAATATTTTGTAAAAAGGATCCACGATTACCCACTATTTATACAAAAGCAAAAATAACAAACCAAATCAAGTCCACCACTACGAACAATCTCAGCAGCACGCGGATCCGTTGTTCCATGATAAGCAACTGGCCATTCGCCATCAATAGAGCTGTTCGCACTTTGGCTAAACCTGTAGTTAACAAAATAAAACAGGAGACAAATTACCGGTGAAGAGTTCCAAGCCAAACATTGTCCCCATATTTGTCAAGAACAGCGAGAGCATAACGCTTTGATCCAAGTGGACGAGTGTAGAGAGCTCCACCACGAGAGAATAATTGCTGATCGACCAAAATCTTCGTGAAATCGTAATTGAACTTCTCAGCAAAGCATTTCTTGTGCATTTGATAAGCGATACATCCTCCTCCTCCTCGAAGTCTCAGCATCAAATGAATAGTAGATTGATTTTTGACATTGTATTCACTCAAAGTCCTTCCATTCTCCAATTGCTGTCCAGCAAAAATGAAACGCTGTTGATCGGAAGGAATTCCTTCCTTGTCTTGAATAAGCGTACGCAGCTCTTCGACAGTGTAATCACCATTTAGCTCGAGTATGATTTTCTTTCCTACCAATACCGCTACAAAGATAGTCATATTATTTGGTTGATGCTTCGCGCGAATCTCTTGGACCGACTTCTTCGACACAACAGCTAAAATAAAAAATACTTTATCGTTACCACGCGGTGGTGCCCAAAAACCAGTACTTTAAAAATTGAGATCTTACCTTTTTCAATTGTATTCACATCGAAAAAGAGCTCGCGTGGCTGGACAATCATACCAGCGGCAATGGCTTCTGGATCTGGATTAAAGCGCTTGTTTTTGAGGCGACACATATGATAGTTGATACCAACGCGGAGAGCTTCATCTAAACAAAAAAAATTGCCAATATCAAAACATTAAATAAGTTCACCTTCAATCGAGAGCGTTGGCATATTGAAAACAGCTACTGATTTCGAGAAGGTGGATCACTGAAAAGAAAAGAGTTGAAATTTCTGTCTGATGGCTATCAATGCAACAAATAACAAGCTGATAATACCTTAAAAAGAAAAATTAAGAAAGCAATTGTACGAATACCTTTTTACCACACCCAAAAACTTTTTTAACCACTTATTTGGGTTGCCATCTCCGTAAATTCAAAATATTGGGATTAGAACCCTCCATCAAGGTCATTAAGAACACTTTAACCTAATCAAATAAAATATCGCGTAAACTCCAACAATAACAATAAAAGAACATATTATGCAACATTATGATCGACAATCACGATAATCTAAAACACTAATAAAATAACTAAAAGAGATTACCATAAAATCACATATCAACTTTTAAAAAATGTTCGATTAAACTAAAATTCCTAGAAACAACAGAAATCTCATCCAAATTACTTACAAAACAACATCGTACAGTATTCGAGCCAAAAAGAAGCGAATTATGAAAGCGAGAATCGACGAGAATACTTGTAACAACAGCAGCAATTCGTTGAGCTTTACTATATATTACTTTACTATATAAAAGTCGTTGAGCTTTACTATATATTACTATAAAGGCTTATTCCTTACTTTTCTCCATCGTTGTTGAAATCTTCCTTGAATAGAAGGCCAATCGTCGACAAAATCGTCACTACCCATCGCCCGAATCGGTTTAGTTCGGATTTCTAGAAATCAAATGAAATAAAATCAAATGTGTTTATTCGAAAACCCACCTTAAATTCGGCAAAACTCATCCCGACTGTGTCTGTCTTAGAATCGAATTTGGGTAATCGATGTCTCGGGCAAGGTACAAGATGGAAAAGTTGAGGAGTCAAATAGATAAAATTGAATGCCTTAAATGATATTATCGTTGTAATAAAAGCTTTTAACTAACCTGTGGAATAAAGAAAAGCATCGCCGTTTTTGAGAAATGTCCGAGAATTGCCACTACAGCCAACGTCATGCCCGCCCAATAACAGTACGTGTCACCAACGAAAACGCGAGCCGGATACTAAAAGTCAATAAATAAAGGTAAACCTGATAAAATTACCTACCTTATTGAAGTTATAGAGGATCAACGATGTTGTGATGAATGGTAACAAAAAGTAAATTGACAACCAATTGTACCAACATTCGATCGGATCTTGGAGGCGATATAGCTAAATAAGTGATTGTAAATTATTTAAACACACCAACAAACACCTGTATGACATTGTATAAAGTGATCGATGAAGCAATGACGAGACTTTGACCGACCTAAATGAAAATGAGCTCTTTGCACGTAATCGCTTAACCTCCAATCCGTTGATTCCCGCGTAAATATTGATCGAATTTGTGCAGAAGACAATCACCATTCCCATGAAAACGTAGTAGAGCAAATTGATGTCAAGGGAAGTTGTTATCTAAACAAAATATTGCTGATCATACAAAGTTAAAACTTTACCTCAAATCCAAGAAATGAAACAATGGAACGAGCAATCTTCGGCACAACAATCGTCGTCGAGCTGCCTGAATTAAAACTAAAAGATCATTTTGAATGAATCAAATCACCTTGTACATAGTAGACCATCAAAACCGGTAATGATGAAAGCGTTGGGAAAAGCAACTTGTGACGCCATCTAAAGAACATCTAAAGAATAACGGTATTCAAAAAAAGCTACCGTTAGCATTTACAAGCTCATCAATCAGTAAACTTTAATCGGTTTACATATCTGACAACCTAATTTGCATTTCACACCAACGCTCTCCATAAAAATCATTTCATTAACTACTTTTGTAGAGTTTGTTTCCTAACACACGATTCCTACAAAGGTTGGTTTTTTTTCTTATTTGAAAACTTTTTACTTGCTTAGCTTAGTTTTAATTGTTTTGTTTATTGTTTATAAGATTAGTCTTTATTGTTTCATTGGATGTTTAGCATTTTAAATACTACTAGTTTCTTTGAACTTTGCTTGAATAAGCATCTTCAGCTCTTCGACAGTGTAATCACCATTTAGCTCGAGTCCGATTCTCTTTCCCGTCAATGTCCTTACATAGATGATCATATTATTTGGTTGATGCTTTGCGCGAATGTATTGAACCAACTTCTTCGACACAGCAGCTAAAATAAAAAATACTTTATCGTTACCACGTGGTGATGCCCGAAAACCAGTACCTTAGAAATTGAGATCTTACCTTTTTCAACTGTACTCACATCGAAAAAGAGCTCGCGCGGTTCGACAATCATACCAGCGGCAATGGCTTCTGGATTTGGATCAAAGGGCTTGTTTTTGAGGCGACACATATGATAGTTGATACCAACACGGAGAGCTTCATCTAAACAAAAAAATTTGTCAATATCAAAGCATTAAATAAGTTCACCATCAATCGAGAGCGTTGGCATATTGAAAACAGCTACCGATTTCGAGAAGGTGGATCACTGAAAGGAAAACAGTTGAAATTTCTGTCTGGTGGCCATCAATACATCAAATAACAAGCTGCTAATAATTTAAAAAGGAAGATTAAGAAAGCAATTGTACGAATACCTTTTTACAACACTCAAAAACTTTTTCAACAACTTATTTGGGTTGCCACCTCCGTTTAATCTCAATATTCAAAATATTGGGATTAAAACCCTCCATCAAGATCATTAAGAACACTTTAACCGAATCAAATAAACGATTCCATAACGGATGTAACATATATAACGTACCCTATACCTCTGAAAAGGGGGTAGGCTAATTTCTGCAATTTTTTGCGCAACAGGGTCGGTTGCGCAACTCGCCATAACTTTCTTCTAAGTCGACCAATTTTTCCGATTCTGTAGATTTTGTAGGTTTCATTTTGTAGATCTCAATAAGTGCAACAAAATGAAGCCAACCAAAATCATAAAGATTGGCCGACTTAGAAGAAAGTTGTGACAAGTTGCGCAAATGATCCCAAAAATTTGGCGCAAAGTAGTCGCAAACGACCCTATTGCGCAAAAAATTGCGGAAATTAGCCTATCCCCTGAAAGGTGCACATTATATTTGACTTCGCTAATTTCTTACACAAATGAGCAAGACAAAGATAACTTCATTTTTCCAAACTTACGAAAGGTTACTATTCATATTATTTCATCTTTTTGCTCTAGTTTCATTTGTCAACTTCAAGCTTCTCGTGATGTTTTCCATGATGTTTTCCATGATGTTTTCCATTTAGAATGAGCCTTTTCACGATTACAACGAACTGTTTGCTGAGCCTTTTGGGTGGTTTCGTCTCGTTGAAGCTGATACAAGAATACATTCCAATCTTCATTCAACGTGGGCACTATGGAAACGATCAATGCAAGGTTTGGATCAGTTTTGGTTTATTAAGAAGAAAGCAATAGGTCATAAGCAATGGCAATAGTGAAATAGGTCAATTAGTTTTGTTTTAATGTTAACCTGTATCTTTATTATTTTTAGGTGAGCAACGCTCCAATTCCCGAGCCGATGGGTGTCATCACTGCAGCCGTTTATCTTATTATCATGTTCATCTTCATACCATTTCCCTTTCTCGAATGGACATACACAGAGTCAGTTTTTATGATATTCTTAATGGAAAAATTGTATAAAACTATATAAATTGAATTTTTAGGCGTTTATTCCCGCACGACAAATTCTTGGCCTTCCTCTCGGCGATCATCTCGATTTGCACAGCAATTTTATTGGGTTTCGCCGATGATATGCTTGATTTGAGGTTAGTTTAGAAGTTGTAAAACAAGATTCCTCAAATTTTCACTCAAATCAACCCCTTTATTCATTGATAAAAAAAGTGAGTGGTGACAAAGAGATAGGAATTTATTTCTTGGCGACATCTCATCCACTCGTTCGTCTATTTTTGATTGGCAATCTTTGCCAATTCTTCGGGTGTCATGTCTGGACATTACCCGTATCTAAAATGAAGAATTGTTGAATGAAAAAGACAATCAACGTTACTAGAGTTACAAGTTTAAGCATTAAATTAACCGACCCTGCTCCTTCGGCGCCTCCTTCCGGTTTTGATGCCGCTGGTTTTTCCTTTGCTGCTGGCTAAAATAAAAACAAGTTACAGGCAATGCATTTTTTGATTTTTTGGGTCAGTTACCCATCGGCATACTGCTTCATAGATTTCAAAGTAAAATTGAATCAATTACCGGTGGTGACTGTGATTTGTTGGGTAGTGGATCCTTCTTGCCCTTATCGCCACCACATTTGATGATTGAATGAGAGATTGCGGCCACGTACACAAAGATCATCCACATTAACCATGTTGCGACTGCTAAAAAGGAAAGATTTGGCAAAGTTCAAAGAAACTAGTATTTAAAATGCTAAACATCCAATGAAACAATAAAGACTAATCTTATAAACAATAAACAAAACAATTAAAACTAAGCTAAGCAAGTAAAAAGTTTTCAAATAAGAAAAAAAACCAACCTTTGTAGGAATCGTGTGTTAGGAAACAAATTCGGCAAAAGTAGTTAGTGAAATGATTTTTATGGAGAGCGTTGGTGTGAAATGCAAATTAGATTGTCAGATATGTAAACCGATTAAAGTTTACTGATTGATGAGCTTGTAAATGCTAACGGTAGCTTTTTTTGAATACCGTTATTCTTTAGATGTTCTTTAGATGGCGTCACAAGTTGCTTTTCCCAACGCTTTCATCATTACCGGTTTTGATGGTCTACTATGTACAAGGTGATTTGATTCATTCAAAATGATCTTTTAGTTTTAATTCAGGCAGCTCGACGACGATTGTTGTGCCGAAGATTGCTCGTTCCATTGTTTCATTTCTTGGATTTGAGGTAAAGTTTTAACTTTTTATGGTCAACAATATTTTGGTTTAGATGACAACTTCCCTTGACATCAATTTGCTCTACTACGTTTTCATGGGAATGGTGATTGTCTTCTGCACAAATTCGATCAATATTTACGCGGGAATCAACGGATTGGAGGTTAAACGATTAAGTGGAAAGAGCTCATTTTCATTTAGGTCGGTCAAAGTCTCGTCATTGCTTCATCGATCACTTTATACAATGTCATACAGGTTTGTTGGTGTGTTTCAATAATTTACAATCACTTATTTAGCTATATCGCCTTCAAGATCCGATCGAATGTTGGTACAATTGGTTGTCAATCTACTTTTTGTTACCATTCATCACAACATCGTTGATCCTCTATAACTTCAATAAGGTAGCTAATTTTATCAGGTTTACCTTCATTTATTGACTTTTAGTATCCGGCTCGCGTTTTCGTTGGTGACACGTACTGTTATTGGGCGGGCATGACGTTGGCTGTAGTGGCAATTCTCGGACATTTCTCAAAAACGGCGATGCTTTTCTTTATTCCACAGGTTAGTTAAAAGCTTTTATTACAACGATAATATCATTTAAGGCATTCAATTTTATATATTCGACTCCTCAACTTTTCCATCTTGTACCTTGCCCGAGACATCGATTACCCAAATTCGATTCTAAGACAGACACAGTCGGGATGAGTTTTGCCGAATTTAAGGTGGGTTTTCGAATGAATACATTTGATTTTATTTCATTTGATTTCTAGAAATCCGAACTAGACCGATTCGGGCAATGGGTAGTGACGATTTTGTCGACGATTGGCCTTCTATTCAAGGAAGATTTCAACAACGATGGAGAAAAGTAAGGAATAAGCCTTTATAGTAATATATAGTAAAGCTCAACGACTCTTTTTTTTAGATGGATTCGGCTCAACAACTTCACGGTGATCAACTTGGTGCTGAAGTTTGTTGGACCAGTGCGCGAGGGTGAGTTTTGTTGACGGAAAGTTAATAGACAAAGCGAATAAAAGTGATTTCCATGATTTCAGGCACTCTCACCAAATTGCTGCTGTTGTTACAAGTATTCTCGTCGATTCTCGCTTTCATAATTCGCTTCTTTTTGGCTCGAATACTGTACGATGTTGTTTTGTAAGAAATTTGGATGAGATTCTGCTGTTTCTAGGAATTTTAGTTTAATCGAACATTTTTTTAAAGTTTATATGTGATTTTATGGTAATCTCTTTTGTTTATTTTATTAGTGTTTTAGATTATCGTGATTGTCGATCATAATGTTGCATAATATGTTCTTTTATTGTTATTGTTGGAGTTTACACGATATTTTATTTGATTCGGGTGAAGTGTTCTTAATGATCTTGATGGAGGGTTTTAATCCCAATATTTTGAATTTACGGAGGTGGTAACCCAAATAAGTGGTTGAAAGAGTTTTTGGGTGTTGTAAAAAGGTATTCGTACAATTGCTTTCCTAATTTTCGTTTTCCGGTCAACTTTTTACCGGGAAGTAATTGTTCAATTGAATATTTTGAGTTGTACAGGAAATTTTCGTCGGAAGGGGAATCGTTTGTCATTTCATTCTCCAAATACCGAAGCAATGTTTCCAAATTTATGTGTTGCACTAGCGTTTTTAGCTTGCTTAGACAATTTCACGGGGTGACTACTTTGCGCCAAACTTTTTGGCCCAACTCGCCATAACTTTCTTCTAAGTGGGTTAATCTTGGCTTTTTAAAATAGTTCTAGTGCACTTTTGGGTTTTTAGGTGTTTTAAATAGGTATTCGTACAATTGCTTTCTTAATTTTCGTTTTTAAGTTATTAGCAGCTTGTTATTTGATGTATTGATGGCCACCAGACAGAAATTTCAACTGTTTTCCTTTCAGTGATCCACCTCCTTGAAATCAGTAGCTGTTTTCAATATGCCAATGCTCTCGATTGAAGGTGAACTTATTTGATGTTTTAATATTGGCAAATTTTTCTTGTTTAGATGAAGCTCTCCGTGTTGGTATCAACTATCATATGTGTCGCCTCAAAAACAAGCCCTTTGATCCAAATCCAGAAGCCATTGCCGCTGGTATGATTGTCGAACCGCGCGAGCTCTTTTTCGATGTGAGTACAGTTGAAAAAGGTAAGATCTCAATTTTTAAAGTACGGGTTTTCGGACATGACCACGTGGTAACGATAAAGTATTTTTCATTTTAGCTGCTGTGTCGAAGATGTCGGTCCAAGAGATTCGCGCAAAGCATCAACCAAATAATATGAATATCTTTGTAAAGACATTGACGGGAAAGACAATCAGTCTCATGATAAATCGGGATTACACTGTCGAAGAGCTGAAGATGCTTATTCAAGACAAAGAAGGAATTCCTCCCGATCAACAACGTCTCATTTTTGCTACAGGTCAATTGGAGGATGGAAGGACTTTGAGTGAATACAATATCCAAAATGAATATACTATTCATTTGATGCTGAGACTTCGAGGAGGAGGATGTATCGCTTATCAAATGCACAAGGAATGCTTTGCCGAGAAGTTCAATTACGATTTCACGAATATTTTGATCGATCAGCAATCATTCTCTCGTGGTGGAGCTCTCTACACTCGTCCACTTGGATCAAAGCGTTATGCTCTCGCTGTTCTTGACAAATATGGAGACAATGTTTGGTTTGGAACTCTTCGCCGGTAATTTTTCTCCTGTTTTATTTTGTTAACTACAGGTTTAGCCAAGGTGCGAACAGCTCTATTGATGGCGAATGGCCAGTGGCTTATCATGGAACAACGGATCCGCGTGCTGCTGAAATTGTTCGTAGTGGTGGACTTGATTTGGTTTGTTATTTTGGCTTTTGAATAAATAGTGGGTAATCGGGGATCCTTTTTACAAAATATTCTTCTAGGAGAAAGGAAAGCGCTTTGCTTTTGGTCATGGCATTTACTGCACTCCTGATCCAAAGACTGCACTCGCTTATGCATCGACTTACAAACACGATGGAAAAACCTACAAGTTGATTGTTCAGGTGGTATTTGTTACATACTTCTTAGTCGTACACATCCACATACAAACGATAAATAACAACTCAAAATTATTTCTTGGAAATACTTTATTAGTTTTGTTTCAGGCTCGTGTCGATCCATCTCGTCGTGAAATTGTGCCCAAATCGAAACACTGTGTTCCTGGCCTTGATGACTACTGGATTGCCAAGGAAAATGACGCCATTCGTCCATACGGAATTTGTGTCTTTCCGTGTTAATTAGAAACTACTTTTTGATCTGTGAGATGCACAATTTTTGCATACGTTGATATTTTGCAAGCTTAACTTTCAACTATTCTAATATGCCATTCATTGGATCACTTTATTTGGTGGATAAACTATATATTATTATACAAAAGGCGCTAATTGTAGTGGTTAAGCTGAAAGGAAATCCACTGAAATATCTAAGATGTATATTGATATTAATTACCTAAGTGGCCAGAATTTTGCCCCAAATGAATGGCTAGTCGCTTACCGTGGGACAACAGATCCACGTGCTGTAGGAATTGTTCGAAGTGGTGGACTTGTTTTGGTTTTTCATATTGGAGTTTATCTAACTTGTATTTCTTTTAGGCAAAAAGGGTACGCTTTGCTTATGCTTACGGCATCTACTGCTCTCCTGGTCCAAAGACTACTCTTGCTTACGCATCGACTTATCACTACGATGGAAGAACCTACAAGTTGATTGGGATTGATCCAGCTCGTCGTGAAATTGTGCCCAAGTCGAAACACAGCGTTGCCGATCTTGATGACTACTGGATCGCCAAAGAGAATGATGCCAATCGTGCTTATGGAATTTGTGTTCTCCTTTGATAACTTGTAATTTGTTTTTTCGCTTTGCACATACAGCCCAATTTGTTATAACTTTACAAATTTGTTATGATGACTTCCATTTTGCACATAAATACCTTCGTCATTTCAGTTACATTCACTAGATAAATCCATTGCGTTAAAGAAGTACACATTGGGGTGCTTGATGAATGTGGCTGGATAATTATGAACGAAAAAGTATTTAGGTGTTATTTTCGTTGTTATTTTTATTTCTGTTAACTTTTTCTTTATAAAAGAAAAGTGCGTCTATAATTTTTTGACAGCTGATAAAACGTTTTTTGTACGATAAAGTACTTTGGATGAGCGAAATGACCAGAAATTTTGCATGGGTTGTGTTTTTACATGGAAGAAACTACAGTCATGCACAAAAGTTTTGTAACATCCAGTTTAGCAAATTTCAAAGTGTAATAACTTTTTGCAAAGAGGCGAATTCTCAAACAGTTTTTGGTTTTCAGTTGTCAAAAATTTCTATTTTTATATGTAAGAAAAACTTTATTGAAACGATTAACAAAAATTAGGAAAAACAAGTAAAAACAAAAAACGGGCCTATTTTTGATGCTCAAAAGTCTTGTAACATTTGAAGTATTTTGCTTTTTTTGTTTGTTTTTGTTTTTATTTTCTTTTTATATAACAAAAAATTATTTTTTTAGATGCCTGGACACTGGACTCGGGACAAAGAAAAAAATGTGGAAGCGCGAGATAGAGGAATTCAGAGGAAAGATGTGGCAGCTCTCTTCAAATGCAGTGAAAAAACGGTATCTGTAATTGTCGGGACGTTCAAAACGACTGGATCTGTTCACCGAGCTTCAAAATCAGGCCGTCCACCAATTACAACACCCAGAGAGGATAAAGCGCTCGTCAAAGCTCACAAAAATAACAAGGATCTCAATGCGAGCGATGGAGTCGTCATGATGAAAAGTCAATTCGGCAAGGATGTATCACGAATGACAGTGAGCCGACGCTTGATTCGTGGTGGGTTGGTGACGAGAAGCGCAGCCAAGAAGCCCTGCCGATGCCAAGCATCGGAAGATTCGCTTGGAGTTTGCAAAGAAGTATGCTTCCTGGACGACAAATGATTGGGCAAATGTGATTTTTACTGATGAGTCAAAAGTCAATCTTTTTCTCCCGGATGGCAACCACTTGATCAGAAGACCAATAGGAAAGCGGTACAACATCAGAAGACCAATAGGAAAGCGGTACAACATCAGATATGTGCGACCAACCGTGAAATTTGGCCAAGGATCAATCATGCTTTGGGGTAAGGGCTACTTTCATGGTGCACACTCTCAACTGTTTTTCAGGTGCAATGTCGAGAAATTCACCAGGTCCGCTAGTGCTACTAAACTCAACGCTCAATGCTGAAGGCTGCAAATCACTTCTCCAGAATCATCTTCTGCCATTTTCAATTGCAAAAATGGGTCCTGGATGGCTGCTTTATCAGGATAATGCGCCTTGCCACAAGAGCCAATTGCTAATGGGCCGGGTCTCGTCAGTCTCGCAAATGGTGGAAAAGCTCGTCTTCCAGGATGATTCAAAGCAAATCGTGTTCAACTTATCTCAGCTCCTCCATACAGCCCAGACACAAGAAACAGAACGGGGTATGACAAAATAACTTATACTTCCCTTATCTATAACACAAAAGTACACCGCGTTTCACATCAATAAATTCACCCAAGAAAATCGCAATATCGCAATATCCAATATTAAATTAGCAGCATGCTACTGTTTGAATTCTTTTTTATTAAAAAGAGCACATCAAAAAATCCTAGATTCATTAAATTACTTGGCATTTTTGCACATTTAGACAAGAAAAACTCCCTGAACTCTCGAGTAGGTGAATGCCACCAAAGAAGTTTTTGATGTCGAAAAAATGTTTTGAGAGACCATTGTTAGACTTCTGAATGGCCGGAGAATTCTAACACTTTCACCGTGACACTTTCACTTTCACCAGGTAAGTTTTTAATATGGTCTTGAATTCTGCTAGTCCTTTTTGGATAATTGCGTCTGTCAATAACTTCGGGTTCACCTTCAATCTTTGGGAGGTAGTCAAATGAGCGCCAACAATTGGGCGCCAATCATTTCAGCGCCAACGATTTGGCTCACGCTTATTTCAGCGCCACTCATTTGAGCGCCGTGCCAAAAATGACTGGAAAACAATCATTTGAGCGCCAAATTAAAAAGGCCTAAAAACGTTCATTTAAGCGCCGGGCCAAAAATGACTGGAAAACGTTCATTTCAGCGCGACTAAATTTTAATATTTTTGCTTTCTACGCTGCTTTTGCATGTTTTTTTAGGGTTTTGCTTCTGTTTTTACACTTTTTTCACTCATTTGACCTAGGGCACGGCAGTAGGCACCAAATGCGCGGAAAAAATTGTTAGATTAGCTCGTATTTAAGGTTTTTTTGATGAAAATGTGTAAATTTGCTAGTTGTATGATATTTTCCCCCAATAGCATGCTTTTTCACCGTTTCTTGCCGTTTTCGTTTACAATTTGCTTACAGTTAACATAGTTCTTTGCTTAGGCTCGTGAACTGCGCAAGAAGTGGCGAGACAAAGGAACACTCGGAGTCAAAGTAACGTTTTGTTCATGATTTATTTTGGTTTATTTTGCTGCCAAGAATTATTTTTATCTTCAGATGATTTAGATAAAAACATACAGTAAAAACTTTGAGATCATGCAGAAAATGCAAAAATAACATGCATATACAGAATGGGTTGATTCGGCGCTGAAATGAACGCGCGCTAAAATGATTGACGCTCATTTGACTACCTCCCCAATTTTTCTAGTTCTTTTTGCTCGACGTTTGACGACCCAAGACGACATTTCAAAGAAAATAAAGATTTGAATAAGTTTTAACAGTTAGAAACCTACATATTGCACCGTGAAATCTACAAAAAAGAAATTTGAAAGTTTTCCAGAACGTGGCTTTTTAAATAGACAGCTTTTTCGAATATTCAGTTGATTTTGCAAGTATAAATTTGGTCAACTTTTTATCGGGAAGCAATTGTTCAATTGAATATTTTGAGTTGTACAGGAAATTTTCGTCCGAAGGGAAATCTTTGTTATTTCATTCTCCAAATTCCAAAAGCAGCAATGTTTTCAAATTTATGTGTTGCATTAGCATTTTTGGCTTGCCATAGGGGTCGCTTCTTTGCGCCAAATTTTTTTGCCCAACTCGCCATAACTTTCTTCTAAGTGGGTTAATCTTGGCTTTTTAAAATAGTTCTAGTGCACTTTGGACAGTTAGAAGCCCAGTTATAGGCAGGTTATGAATAGCTCCTAGATGACGTTTGAATCGTATTTTTTAACTTTCGTTTCTCGATTTGTGGTCTACTACAACTCGCATAATTTCTTTCTTATTCGTTGGCTCCACTTCACGAAATCGAGGAGCGTATCCAATATCAGTTGTTTCATGGTTTAATGATTGTTCGATTAATCTTTAGGTAATTGGAATTTACGGAGGTGGCAATCTAAATAAGTGTTTGAGAAAGTTTTTAGTTGGTGTGAGAAAAGTAGTTTTAAAATTATCCTTGATATACCCTTTGAATTGTTAGCAGACTTCTTTTTTTATGCTTTGAATGCTATCGAACAGAAATTTCAACTACCGTAATAATTCTAATAGAAGACCAGTCTCTAATAGAAGACCAGTCTCCAATAGAAGACCACCCCCTTGACCCCTTGAAATCGGGACCTTTTAAAACTTCTGTTCAAGTAGAATGAAAGATTTGGGTCCAGATAGTAATATTTTAGCCCCGGCAGTAAAATTGGAGACGTAGTTTTTGAAAAAAATTAAAAAATAACTTTTTGGAAAAATTTCATGTGGTCCCCTACATGGATTTTTTTGAAAGATTTTCTATGGAGTCCGGGCAAGAAAATAATTTCACTTTTAGACATGTTTTTGGCATGTTTTGGGGCAAGGGCTATCGTTTGAAATAGTTTTTAACTATTTTTAATTTTTTGATTCATGTGGGGGACCTTTACCTACTTTTTTGACTCACCAATTTTGGGGGGGTTGAAAATTAGAAGACCATGGTCTTCTATTAGAATTATTACGGTAATTTTCTTTCAGTGATCTACCTTCTCGGAATCGGTGACTGGTTTCAATATGTCGTCCCTTTCTATCAATGGTAAACTTATTTCATGTTTTGCTATTGACTAAATTTCTTTGTTTAGACCAAGCTCTCCTTGCTGGCATCAACTGTCACATGCATCATCTCAACAATGGGACTTTTACAATGGGAGATCTCGGTTCCGATCCGGCTTTGTATTCGTGCTCGGGTTCTGATTCTGATTCTGACTCAGATTCTGAAAAGATTGTCGAACCACGCGACCTCTTTTTCAATGTGAATACGATTCAGAAAACGGTTGAAAAGGGTAAGTTCAATTTCCAGCCAATTTTCTTTCAAAGTGTTTACTTTTTATCCTTAAGGTACGAAAGCTCGCTTTCGTGGTGCTGCTCGTCGTTTGATGCTGGGACGTCGGCAAGGAAGATGCAGCGTTTACAAAATGCACCCAGGAGGCTTTGCCGAAAAGTTCAATTACGATTTCACGAATATTTTGACCGATCAGCAACCATTCTCTCGGGGTGGATCTCAATACATTCGCCCACTGGGGTCAGTGCGTTATGCTCTCGATGTTCTGGACAAATATGGGGACAATGCCTGGCTCGGATACGTTGGGCGGTAATTTTTCTTGTTTTATTTTATTAACTACTGGTTTAGCCAAAGTGCGAACGGCTCTATTGATGGCGAATGGCCAGTTGCTTATCATGGAACAACGGATCCGCGGGCTGCTGAAATTGTTCGTAGTGGTGGACTTGATTTGGTTTGGAGTATACATTTGCTTTTATTTTATTATTTGCAGAAAAAAGGCGAGCGTTTCAAGTTTGGACAGGGTATCTACTGCACTCCTGATCCAAAGACTGCACTCTATTATGCATCTCCTTACGAACACAATGGAAAAAGCTACAAGTTGATCGTTCAGGTGGGATTTGTTACGGACTTTAATATAGTCAATAAGTAACTGATTTGTTGGAAGTATTCATTTTGTTTCAGCTCCGTGTCGATCCATCTCGTCGTGAAATTGTGCCCAAGTCTCAACACGGTGAGCCTGGCCTTGGTGATTACTGGATTCTCAAGGAAAATGATGCCATTCGTCCATATGGAATTTGTGTCTTTCCGTGCTAAGTAGAAACTACTTTTTGATCTGTGACATGCACAATTTTTGCATAGATTGTTATTTTGCAAGCTTAACTTTCAACTATTCTCCTGTGTCATTTATTGGATCACTTTATTTGACGGATAAAGTATATTATTAGACAAAAGACTCTAGTTGTAGTGGTTAAGCTGAAAGGAAATGCACTGAAATATCTAAGATGTATATTGATTTTAATTACCTAAGTGACCAGAATTCTGTCCCAAATGATTGGCTAGTCGCTTACCATGCGACAACACATCCACGTGCTGCGGAGATTGTTCGAAGGCTACTTTGCGCCAAATTTTTTGCGCAACTCGCGATGAACTCGCCATTTTGTAGATCTCAACAAGCGTAACAAAATGACACCGTTATTCATTTTTTCACGCGAAACCTTAATTTGGCTTACAGACATCCAAACCAAAATTACTATTATCTCAATGTGAATAGATGAGCAATTACTTGCAACAACTTGATACCTGAAACTTCCCACGACCTTGTTGATTGGAGAAATCCTTCGTGTCGCGGCAGACACTAACACGTTGGTTTTCTTTATTCACTGCGTAAATTTGAAATTCAGTCATGATCGGCTCCTCACCACGCTAAACAGTCTACTCTAGTCAGTACTTAAGGTGATCTAGACATTAAACCGTGTAAAGCCTCACCGCGAGGCCAACTTGACGCAAGAAGAATGACACGTTAGTTGCATCTTCATCGCGTTTTCCATTTGGATAGACGTGCAGTTCCCAAGAAACAACGGTAGCTTCTGGACAGCCAAATTGCTTCGAGATGAGATTCTGCCCGTTCTTAGAGAGCTTCATGAGACGTTCAAACTAAAGAAAACGATTATATTCACAGCTAGCATATAAATACAAAAATAAATCAAGCTTACAAACCTGCTCAATTTTCCACTCAAGCTTTGCCGATAGAGCGGTGACTTTGGTCGCTTTGAGACAACTTCTGCCTTTGGAAGAATTGGCGATGGACAATGAAACGGTGTCAATGAAAAAATGAAAAACGCTTATAAAGCTTGAGTTTTTCTTTTTATCCGCAATTTGAAAAACTGTAAAAAGAAAGTGGAAATTGGTCACTGCAAATTCAAGCTAATAGTAAGCAACGTTTTTAACAAAGATTTCAACACAAATACCCATTTCGATTGTCGTAGTATAAATTTACTTCAAGTTTCATGAAATGTCGGACCAATTGGTCAAGATAAAGCTCGTTCACAGTCAAACTTTTAACTAGTGCAATCACTAACTTTTAAAAGACTTTATTTACGGATGTAACAGCGATAAAACGTTATATATGTGCAAGATGAGAATAAAGAATCCGATAACAGTAAAAAGTAAGTAAAAAGTAAAAAGGGTTATAAGTATGTACATGCAGAAGAGAATAACAAAATGAAACTTAACAAATGAGAGAGAACCAGTGTGCAATTCAATGATAAGTATGTACACGGAAAAGAGAATAACAAAGTGAAACTTAACAGATGAAAAATAATCAACGTGCAAGTCTAGCAAGGAAAGACACAAATTCCGTATGGACGAATGGCGTCATTCTCCTTGGCAATCCAGTAGTCATCAAGATTGGCACGACCGTGTTTCGACTTGGGCACAATTTCACGACGAGATGGATCGACACGAGCCTGAAACAAAACTAATAAAGTATTTCCAAGAAATAATTTTGAGTTGTTATTTATCGTTTGTATGTGGATGTGTACGACTAAGAAGTATGTAACAAATCTCACCTGAACAATCAACTTGTAGGTTTTTCCATCGTGTTTGTAAGTCGATGCATAAGCGAGTGCAGTCTTTGGATCAGGAGTGCAGTAAATGCCATGACCAAAAGCAAAGCGCTTTCCTTTCTCCTAGAAGAATATTTTGTAAAAAGGATCCCCGATTACCCACTATTTATTCAAAAGCCAAAATAACAAACCAAATCAAGTCCACCACTACGAACAATTTCAGCAGCACGCGGATCGGTTGTTCCATGATAAGCAACTGGCCATTCGCCATCAATAGAGCTGTTCGCACTTTGGCTAAACCTGTAGTTAACAAAATAAAACGGGAGAAAAATTACCGGCGAAGACTTCCAAGCCAAACATTGTCTCCATATTTGTCAAGAACAGCGAGAGCATAACGCCTTGATCCAAGTGGACGAGTGTAGAGAGCTCCACCACGAGAGAATGGTTGCTGATCGATCAAAATCTTCGTGAAATCGTAATTGAACTTCTCGGCAAAGCATTCCTTGTGCATTTGATAAGCGGTACATCCTCCTCCTCGAAGTTTCAGCACCAAATGAATAGTAGATTTATTTTTGACGCTGTATTCACTCAAAGTCCTTCCATTCTCCAATTGCTGTCCAGCAAAAATGAGACGTTGTTGATCGGGAGGAATTCCTTCTTTGTCTTGAATAAGCATCTTCAGCTCTTCGACAGTGTAATCACCATTTAGCTCGAGTCCGATTCTCTTTCCCGTCAATGTCCTTACATAGATGATCATATTATTTGGTTGATGCTTTGCGCGAATGTCTTGAACCAACTTCTTCGACACAGCAGCTAAAATGACAAATACTTTATCGTTACCACGTGGTCATGTCCGAAAACCCGTACTTTAAAAATTGAGATCTTACCTTTTTCAATTGTATTCACATCGAAAAAGAGCTCGCGTGGCTGGACAATCATACCAGCGGCAATGGCTTCTGGATTTGGATCAAAGGGCTTGTTTTTGAGGCGACACATATGATAGTTGATACCAACACGGAGAGCTTCATCTAAACAAAAAACATTGTCAATATCAAAACATTAAATAAGTTCACCTTCAATCGAGAGCGTTGGCATATTGAAAACAGCTACTGATTTCAAGGAGGTGGATCACTGAAAGGAAAACAGTTGAAATTTCTGTCTGGTGGCCATCAATAGATCAAATAACAAGCAGCTAATAATTCAAAAGGTATATTAAGGATATAATTTTACAAATACTTTTTTCATACCAACTCAAAACTTTCTCAAACGCTTATTTGGATTGCCACCTCCGTAAATTCTAATTACTCCAAGATTACTCGGACAATCGCTACTTTGCTCCAAATTTTTGGGATCATTTGCGCAACTTGTCACAACTTTCTTCTAAGTCGACCAATCTTTATGATTTTGGTTGGTGTCATTTTGTTATGCTTGTTGAGATCTACAAAATGACACCAAAATCATAAAGATTGGCCCACTTAGAAGAAAGTTATGGCGAGTTGGGCAAAAAATTTGGCGCAAAGAAGCGACCCCTATGGCAAGCCAAAAATGCTAATGCAACACATAAATTTGAAAACATTGCTGCTTTTGGAATTTGGAGAATGAAATAACAAAGATTTCCCTTCGGACGAAAATTTCCTGTACAACTCAAAATATTCAATTGAACAATTGCTTCGCGATAAAAATTTGACCAGATTTATACTTGCAAAATCAACTGAATATTCGAAAAAGCTGTCTATTTAAAAAAGCCACGCTTTGGAAAACTTTCAAATTTCTTTTGTTGTGAATTTCACTGTGCAATGTGTCAGTTTCTAACCGTTAAAACTTTTTCAAATCTTTATTTTCTTTGAAATGTCGTCTTGGGTCGTCAAATATCGAGCAAAAAAAAGCTAGAAAAATTGAAGGTGAACCCGAAGTTATTGACAGACGCACTTATCCAAAAAGGACTAGCAGAATTCAAGAGCATATGAAAAACTTAGCTGGTGATTGACGGTGAAAGTGTTAGAATTTTCCGGCCATTCAGAAGTCTAAAAATGGTCTCCCAAAACTTTTTTGTCGAATAGATAAAATTGAATGCCTTAAATGATATTATCGTTGCAAAAAAAAGCTTTTAACTAACCTGTGGAATAAAGAAAAGCATCGCCGTTTTTGAGAAATGTCCGAGAATTGCCACTGCAGCCAACGTCATGCCCGCCCAATAACAGTACGTGTCACCAACGAAAACGCGAGCCGGATACTAAAAGTCAATGAATGAAGATAAACCTGATAAAATTACCTACCTTATTGAAGTTATAGAGGATCAACGATGTTGTGATGAATGGTAACAAAAAGTAGATTGACAACCAATTGTACCAACATTCGATCGGATCTTGAAGGCGATATAGCTAAATAAGTGATTGTAAATTATTGAAACACACGAACAAACCTGTATGACATTGTATAAAGTGGTCGATGAAGCAATGATGAGACTTTGACCGACCGAAACCAGCGGCACCAAAACCGGAAGGAGACGCCGAAGCAGCAGGCTGAGTTAATTTAACGCTTAAACTTGTCACTTTAGTAACGTTGCTTGTCTTTTTCATGCAACAATTCTTCATTTTAGATACGAGCAATGTCCAGACAAGACACCCGAAGAATTGGCAAAGATCGCCAATCAAAAATAGACGAACGAGTGGATGAGATGTCGCCAAGAAATAAATGCCTATTTTTTGTCACCACTCACTTTTTTATCAATGAATAAAGGTGAGTGAAAATTTGAGGAATCTTGTTTTACACCTTCTAAACTAAACATCTTCTAACCTCAAATCAAGCATATCATCGGCGAAACCCAATAAAATTGCTGTGCAAATCGAGATGATCGCTGAGAGGAAGGCCAAGAATTTATCGTGCGGGAATAAACGCCTAAAAATTCAATTTATATGGTTTTATACAATTTTTCCATTAAGAATATCATAAAAACTGACTCGGTGTATGTCCATTCGAGAAGGGGAAATGGTATGAAGATGAACATGATAATAAGATAAACGGCTGCAGTGATGACACCCATCGGCTCAGGAATTGGAGCGTTGCTCACCTAAAAATAATAAAGATAAAGGTTAACATTAAAACAAAACTAATTGACCTATTTCACTATTGCCATTGCTTATGACCTATTGCTTTCTTCTTAATAAACCAAAACTGATCCAAACCTTGCATTGATCGTTTCCATAGTGCCCACGTTGAATGAAGATTGGAATGTATTCTTGTATCAGCTTCAACGAGACGAAACCACCCAAAAGGCTCAGCAAACAGTTCGTTGTAATCGTGAAAAGACTCATCCTAAATGGAAAACATCATGGAAAACATCTCGAGAAGTTGACAAATGAAACTAGAGCAAAAAGATGAAACAATATGAATATTAAGCTTTCGTAAGTTTGCAAAAATGAAGCTGAAATCTTTGTCTTGCTCATTTGTGTAAGAGATTAGCGAAGTAAAATATAATGTGAACTTTTCAGGGGATAGGCTAATTTATCCCATAACAAAAATGATAAGAACATTTAAAATCGAAGTAAAAATGACAAAGATTTAAGATGTTCAATATGGTTACACGTCAATTCTATGGGAAAGCTTTATTTTGCCTAATTTCATTTCGCCCAAATTTCGGGGTAGGCAAATTTCCGCAATTTTTTTTTGCGCAACTGGGTCGTTTGCGCAAACCCGCCGTAACTTTCTTCTAAGTCGGCCAATCTTTATGATTTTGGTTTCATTTTGTAGATCTCAATAAGTGCAACAAATTTTACCCTCCCGATCTTAAAATTTTTTCATCTACGCTTTAGAAAGTCAAAAAGCGAAAATCGATTGAACGCTGGCATTTTCAAGAGTTGAACTTGTTTTAAAGTTAAATGTTTTGTTTTCTTTATGTTTTGTTTATGTTTTTGTTTTGTTTATGTTTTTTTTGGGGTGGGACAAATGCGACCTTTTTTTTGCGCACCTGGACATTTGCGCACCTTTTTTTTGCTGGAAAAGGCCTTAGGCAAGGCCGTAGAGCTTCGAAAATATTTCGAAAATACTTCCATATAAGGGAATCGTATGCGTAGATTCCGAATTTCGACAAATCAGACCTCGCTGACACGTCAAATTTGGGCTAAAGGGCAAAAACTGCGGAAAAGCGTTAAGTTGCGTAGTTTTTGCCTTTTAGTCCAAATTTGACGTGTCAGCGAAATCTGATTTGTCGAAATTCGGAATCTACGCATACGATTCCCTTCTATGAAAACTTTTTTGAAGCTCTACGACCTTTCCTAAGGTCTTTTCTAGCAAAAAAAGGTGCGCAAAATGTCCAGGTGCGCAAATGTCCAGGTGCGCAAATGTCCAGGTGCGCAAAAAAAAGGTCGCATTTGTCCCACTCCCTTTGTTTTGTTTTGTTCACTAAAATCCTCCTTTTATTTACAAAATGGTGTCTTTTAGAAAAAAGACAACTTTGAGGTCTTTAACAACATATTAATCTGTTTTTGATAGTTTTTTTTTGGACTATGAACCTTGCCTTGTCATTTTCAACAATTCTAGACATTGAAAAGTCACTTTCTGCGTTTTAGCAAAAGATTTTTGCTTCTAAAGCATGGATTTGAAAGGAATTTCTCATACTTGATGAAAGGGGTGTTTGTTAAAGTGCGGAAAGTGACTGTCTACAAGCCTAGCTTTGTCAATGAGTCAACATTTCAGTATCAATGTTTTTAATTACCCTTAAAAAAGGTTCAGCAAGTTCACCTGTAACCAGAATCCCAGCTGCTCACTGAAAAAAAACGAAATTTCTCCACTCACAAGACTTGCAGGTGTAAATGTTGCGCTTTTTTTGTTATAGTTGCAGAGTTTTTCAAATCAAAAACACTACATGTTGAAGGAGTTTGGTGTTTTTTTGTTTGATTTGATTTTTGTTTTTGAGCGAATCCAGGTGAATTTCTTTAGACTCTTGCATAAAGTTTTCGATTTTCTATCTAATTTTTCGAATCTTTAAACTTTCTGTAACTTTATTTGATATAATATTGATAAATAAGCAATTTTCTGTAAATCTAAACTTTTCCATGTTGAGATTTGAAAGTTTACGGTTCAAAAATTTGCTTGAAAAGAAAATCAGACGGTTGCCGGACAACGTCAACGAAAAAAGGAAACCTTTGTGGAGATTTTAAGACAGAATGATGAGATTTTAAAGTGAAAAAGTTTCGATTTGTTGGATATTTTATAGCTTATAGCTTATATCTTATATCTTTTTTTGCTAGCTTTGAGCGCGCCATAAGTACATAAGTACATAAGTACTAGCCTAGTGAAAAGTCTTTAAAAGTCTTTTTGCGTTTCTTTCACATAAAGAAAGCATCGCATGCAAAATTTCAAGTCATTTCATTCATCCAAAGTACTGGATCGTACAGAGCACGTTTTACCATTTGTCAAAAGAATTAGCCTAGATAATGTCTAGTTAATGTCTAGCTTACGGTTTCCAAGCTTTCCCAGAAGCTGAACACTCTAATCCCCCACTAGATCTCGTCGTCAGCTACATTTTCCGACCACACATCGATAGGTTCTGATAAGCGGTTCTCGAGATTTCGAGGAATTTAGGCGATGCTCAGGGTGCACTACTATTAGAGAAAATACGGTATTAGGAATAGGAAGGAGAAAACTGAACATATGATTTATTATTTGCTTAAGACTTTATGTATTATTTCATACTTACAATGCTTCTCTCAACTATGCAAAGTGTTTTTAAAAGATTTCAATTTTGAAAAGAAATCTCTCTATTTTATTCAATCTATTGGCTTTTTTTATTTTTTAAAAATCCTTCATGAATTCTCAAAGAATCCAACCAAAAAATGGATAGATTGGATAAAAATGAGTGACAGGATTACGATGTTGTGAAAGTTGAGATGTTTTAAAAAAAACCCGTTAATAGTCTAGTCTGGTCTAGTCTAGTCTAGTCTAGTCTAGTCTAGTCTAGTCTAGTCTAATCTAGTTAGGCTAGTCTAGTCTAGTCTAGTATAATCTAGTTAGGCTAGTCTAGTCTAGTCTAGTCTAGTCTAGTCTAGTCTAGTCTAGTCTAGTTACGAGTTACACAGTCTAGTTACGAGAGATGCATTGTCTATAAGAATATTTGTTGAATATTGTGCCCCATATAAGTTTTAGTTATTCTAAAACCGCTTAGTTATCGACTTTTGTTCCTACCAATGGAAATGTGGCGTTTCTTTGGTTTTTTTTCTTTTTAAAAAATGAAAAAGCTTAGTTATCCTTAGAAAAAGCCTAGAATAACTAGTTATCCTAAAATCTTCAGATTAGTTAGTTATTTTAGACTATATCTTCCAAGTTTTAACCTATTTTTGACAATTACCATAGTATAAAAGTACAATATCTAACTAAGATCGTAGTTTTTTGAGTCTTATTTAAAATGAAATCACTTTTTACTATATTTTACTATCTTTTACTCGAATTAGCCAAGAGATAAACCCCTTTTTCATGGATCTTTTTTCCCCCGAAAACACGCGACGCATCGGTGTGAATTGTTTGTGAAGCGGCTCCTCTTTTCCACCCATCCGACCGCACCGATCGTTCCGTTTTCCCCTCCCAATTTTCTCATTCACCTTTTTTTCCATTCATCCACCTGTCACACGCCTTTTCCGGTGTCTGTTTTTCAAGCTTTAATTTGAAAAATTCTATTTACTCATATATTTTTGAAGTTTAAACCAAAGTTTTTAGCCAAAGATTTGTAAAAATTTGACTTTTTTTCAACGTTTTGTTTTATTTTGTTTGTTCAAAACGTTCCAGTGCTTTGTTTATTGGGAATAAGTTCTTCTTTCAAATCTTTCCTCAATTTTTCAATTTTCAATCTTTTCCCTAGCATATCGATTGTATCAAGTTGAAGAAAGCGATTGGAAACGGAAAAGAGGGGAAACTTTTGGCATACTGCTAACAATTTACCAGTGAAAGCAAAAAAATTGAGGCTTTTCTGGAGTAATTCGATGCGCTGAGTACGAATTTCGACATCCCAGAGCTGAATTTTGCGATTTTTAAAGGTTTTCGACAAAACTTATGTTATCTGGTTGATCCTGATCATTTTGAGCGGCTGATGTAAGAGACTAAGCCATAGTATTAGTTTGCATGAAAATTATGATTTTAACATAATTTTTCTTTTTCTCGCGTTTCGTACCTCCTCCTTTCCTACTCCTTCTTCATTTATCTACTATTTACCTACCATAAATACTCTAATCTAAGCCCCCATAGAAGCATCGCGTAGTCTAAGTTTACTTTCAAATAAACGCTCATATCTCGACACCAATACTTTTTTTTCTGCGTTTTTTTGTATCAAATTAAAGTAGAGAGAATGAGTGTTTTTTTAAGATATAACACATATTTTTAGCATTAATCAGCGCTTAGAAAAAATGATTAAAAAAGTGGCAAAAAAAAGAGCTAATATTGGAAAGGAAATTTGAATAAAAGAAAGGAAATTATATTCAAAGTATACTGTACTATAATTACAGCTAACAATATCTATATTTTATTATTAGATTAGTAACTTGAAAGTTAGTACATTTATTCATTGCACCTTTTAAAAATAACTAGTTTAATTAATTTTTACCAATAAAAAGGCGCATTTATTCTCTAAAATAGGCTTTTGATAGATATAGAAAAGCTTTGTTTTTTGTGTGTTTCTAGGGGGAAAGAAGTTGTGGAAACAAAAATGATGAACACTTGATGAAGCCATTTGAGCACTTTCTTTCACATAAACCTATTTTAATGTTAATAGAAAAAAGATAGAGCATGAAAAGTTAGGCATATACAGTCGAACCTCTCTATAACGAACCTCGATATAACGTAAACCTCTCTATAACGTAAGGCGTGACCGGTCCCGGCCGACGTTAAGCTATATAAAACGGCACTCTATATAACGTAAACCTCTATATAACGTAAGCTATAGCCGTCCCGTGAGTTACGTTATAGAGAGGTTCGACTGTAGCTGATTTCTTGGCTAGATCTAATCAATCGCTTTTGTTATAGTTCTATTTAGATCTAGATACTTTATTCTGAATCTAGATACTTTATTCTGAAATAAAGTACGCTAGATTTAAGATGAATACACATGAACTACAAATAATTATTATTACATACAAATACAATTAATTACATACAAATAACACGAAAATGGCCGATAAAAAGCTAGGCATATAGCTGAATTCTTGGCTAGATTCTTGGCTCGATCACTTTTCTTATAATTCTATAGATACTTTATTCAGGATCTGAAATAAATTTCGCTAGATTTAAGATTCATTTTAATTTAAAACTTTAATTTTAAGATTATTTA